TTTTTTATTTTTATTTTTCTTCTTCTCCCCCCAAATCCTGTGCTTAGCGGGGAGTTTAATTCCTCCTCTTTTTTTTATTTATTTATTATTATTTAATATTAGTTATGTTGCTGTTATTATTAAAATTATTATGAATAAAACAAAAAGCATGTCTTCATGTTATTGGATGAGATGACAAAATTCAAGAAAACTAACCAATCAAAAGTGGACAAATATCTCTCAATTAAATGATACGATTATTTTTTGATTTTATTAATTAAACAAAAATAGAATAAAAATGCTAAATCATGATTGGCTAACAAGGAAATATGAGGATAAAGCATGTGCGCCCTTGATTAAATTTAAATCAAACGATCCATATTTAATCAAAGAAACACATCTAATGTAAAATACCAATGTTTCCCCTTCTAGAAGCTTTAATTAATTTAATAGAATTAAATCAATTAAAACTAATAGAAATTCACAATTTATTGAATAAAAAATGATAAAAATAAAAGGCTAATGTGGAAATTTCTAATTTATACTAAACATTTTGATGAAAAGATAAAAATAAATCGAATGAAGGATGAATCAAATCGACTGCACAGGAAATGATTAACGCGAAATAAATGATTCGGAGGAATACAACGTTATGTCAAATTTGAAAATTGATCGGGTACCCTCGGGAAACAATTCGACCAGTCTGTCTGTATGTCCGAGTATTCATTCTAGCTAATCAATTTTTTAGGGTTTATTCAGGGTAAAAGATGTGATGCTATGCAGGAGATGCATAACTGAACATAAAATTGAATGCAAAAAAAAATTGAAAATGGTAGGACAAAATCAGAGTATGACAGTGGGGAAGTTGACCCAGGATGAAGACCACATGTTGGTATTCCCTACTTTCAAGTAGGATCCTGGCAGTCATTTGTGGTGGGCCTAACGATCCAACCCACAACAGATGACCTTTGACCCACCACTGCAGGATCTATAAATACCCTCTTTAATATAAAGTCAGGTATTCTAAATCCATTCTCACTACTCTGTACTTGTTTTTTCTCTTTTCACTATGAACCTCACTTTGGCATCGGAGTGCCTTGCAGATACACCCCCTTCTCTTCTCCGTCAATGGCAAATTTGAAGTCCACGATGTGTTGCTACTGCTAATTGAATCTCTGATCCCGATAAGATCAGTAAAAAATAATGAAGATATTGCAACATAAAAATGTCATAAATGTGGTGAAATGTAATTTAATTTTGATTTTATAATTTTAAAAAAACAGCCACTTTTTTTTATCTATTGAAAAATCTATCCGTGGTGAAATATATCTTGAAAATAAAGAGAAAAAACACTTAAGTAAATAGTTTTTACCACGATGGACAATATTGTCATATCCTAAAATTTTCCGTATTTTTTTCAATTTTGTTTGGCTTATTGCTCATCTCATTTGCATAATTCATATGTCCTAATCATCCATCATAAAACCTTCATTTACAGTTACATCTTTCAAGTAACATCTTTGATTCAAAGGTTTCTTGTTATTTAAGATACAAAGGCATTAAATTATGATTTGCAAGCTTATGACCATCATGCTTCACCTAGATATTTTTGTTTGTGGACACAACAAATTGGTGGTTGATCTTGGTTAAGTTCTTATGGGAACCCTAATTCTTGATCTTTGGTATCTATGGATCATATGGTTGGAATTTTGATATTGGATTTAATCAGGGATTACAGATGTCACATTGGTCAACCATGGGAGTTTCATTTGATTGATTGAGTTTCTTTATGGGCTTGGTCGTTACATTTGTTTATTATGTGTGATATGGACTCAAGAAAATACATTAAGACCCATGCTGGTCCAAATTAAAAGATTGAAAGTCCATATTCAACTTCAAGATCAAGTTTTATTTAGGTTTCCAAAGATTCATTCAAGCATTCAAGTACAAGCTCATCTTTTTTTCAAATTCAAATCTTGGAGAGAAACTCATTTTTCATAAAAATCAAACCATATACACATCATTCAAAGCCATTTTTATTACAAAAATTTTCAAAGTCATTACAAAACCTTCAAGTCTCCATTACAAAGTCAAGAATCAAATTATGTACAAACTTCATTGTTTTACCTAGGGTTGACTTTGGGTTATTGAGTTTTTGGTCAACAAGTTGACCAAAGTCAACTACCTATTTCTAAACCCTACTCTCCATGTTTTCTTCTTTCACAAGTTATCTTAGTCTTCAAGCTTTCATGACCCTTAGTGTGTTTCAAAAACATGTTGATGTGTCATGGCTTATTTCTTGGTCCATGCCTTGATTTCATGCTTTGATCAAATCTTCATATCAAGCTACTTCCCTCTTGACCTTGCCTTAAGTATGTGTTTGATCTTGGCCTCAAGTTGTTTGAAGCTTCCCTACCCAAAACAACATGCATGATTCAAATGCAACCTGAGTTAGTTCCAATCATCCTTACCATAATTCAAGACTTGACTCACATCAACATTCCAAAATGAGATAAATCAGTGCATAATTTAGGGATCCCAATAAAAACAAAATCACAATAGATTACATACCACAATGAGACCTCCTAATACTAACTATACTAATCAAACACGATTCACGTTCATCCAAGCATCAAATAGTCACTAATTCTTCATAACAAAATATGCAACAAGTGTTTCCAAACACAAATTCATTAATTCTTTAACAATGCTAACAAGGGTCAAGCAAGATTTCTACACAAAATCTCCAAGTTCAAGCTCATAACGTATTTAAAAAGAACTAACCTAATGTTTTCAAATTGATTTTTACTATTTGTTCTAACAGAGAATCTCTAAATCATTTGCACAAACTGATTCGCTCATCCTAGAATGCACATAGTTTTTCATTAATACTAATTAACCCCAATAAATTTTTTCACTCGCATTACAAATTTGATAAACACAACTTGTGGGATAAAAAACAGGGGTTATGATGCATTTGTTCTTTCAGCTTCTGAGTACTTGGATTGTCTGTCGTACTTACCTTGTGGTCTGATGCTTGTCTCCCACATAAAACTAATCATAACCAATTAAATACATTTTTCCGCCTTAGGGAAACATTCAAACTTTTCCCATTTAACGCCTCAACACTGCAACAATACTCTCCTTTTTGGACCAAACATAAATCTCTTTGGATAGTAGTCTCTGAACCAAACCCCTTTCTTTGGGTTAATCACCTTCTGATGGCTAAAACCTTCCTTATGCATGTTTTTTTTGTCAGACCTTGTGCTTAGACAAACCTTACCCCTGCATTTTCGTCTTGTTAAACCTTGAAATTAGACGAACTCTCCTCTCTTGCATGTTCATCTTGTCAAACCTTGTGCTTAGACGAACTCTTCTATCTTGCATTGTTTGTCTTGTTAGAGCTTGTGCTTAGAGCTAGACAAACTCTATTTCCCCTGCAAGTTTGCTTTGTCAGAACCCGTGCTTAGGAGAACCTCCTTCTCTTGTATTATTTGTCTTGTCAGACCTCGTTCTTAGACAAACTCCCCTCTCCTGCATTGTTTTCCTTGTCAGACCTCGTGCTTAGGCAAGCATCTCTGTTGTAGGTCATGATCCTTGGATCTAGGAAAAATCCTACGTTTCTGCATTAGCCATACTCTTTGGTTTAGAGACACCTACCTTATGGATCTAACAACACCAAATTTGGTCCAAACAATACTTTCACCACAACTTCACAACACCTTTCTCACTTCCCAACTCCCTTTTCTATTAACTCAATCAACTCTTTTTTTTTTCTGTTTATCATACAAGCCTTTTTTTTGTTGCAAAACAACACTTTTTTTCATAAAAATAACTTTTATAATTCGTTCCTTAGCAGTCAGACTAAGAGTTCGGAGCATCCGACTAAGGATCAAGTCAGCTAACGTCTACATACTTATAGGATACGATTATAAATGTTCCCTAAAAACAACCAATATATACTTATTTTTTACTCCGAACTACGGAACTCAGATTTTCTCATTGTACTATAAGGATACGTAGGCATGAGGGCATCAATCCTCCGCGAGCACACTAATTATAAAAAAAATTCCCTTTTCGCAAGTAACTTTAGACAATAACACACATCCGAGCGAAGAACAAGCAAAATGGTTTTCGTCAAGTACAATGGATGTGAGGGATGCTAATACATTCCCCTCGCATAACCGACTCCCTTATCCGTTTCTTTTTTCCATGAGTTTTATCGATATTTTCCCTTTCTTTTTAGAATAAATAAAGTTCGATGACGACTCAGTTGTATCATTGAACATGCGATGCGATCGAGTATTTTTCGCACCGTAACAAATATAACCAAGATGAAATACATTGCGTGTGTGAAATAGTTTAGGAAAAGATATAATGATTGGAGTATAAAATAAATTTTCCATAATACTTTCAATGGTGCGGGTTACCGCAGGAGGGACCTACCAAATAATAATAATTTTACACTTGATTCCATTCACACAATATATATACTAGTGAGTCCACATCAGTTATTTGCCCGTATCAATATCTGAAAATGACACTTGACAATGAGCTACGCTATGACTCTGAATTTGAAGTTTTTTAATATGCAAAGCAAAGCAATCCATTTGCAACAAATAGAAGCAAAACTCAGCACAAGTGAGAATTGCATGCTCATGCACAGGCTTACTGCTATATAGAACTAATTAAATAATTTTTTAAGCCTATATATGATAAACCAGGAAAGGATCTTATCATCTTCACATTCAACTATTTCTAGAAATACATTAAAGCAATTATTATACTAATTATACAGTATGATGTGAAAGTGATATGCTAAAAAATATTAAGTAATATTAATACATCCCTAACTACTTATTTTAAATTTGAAACTTAAAATGATAGACCCAGTGCAGTGCATATTGAAACTCATCTTATTCCATTCATACCAAAACTATTATTTTTAATAAGAATTATGTTACTCTTCTTTATATATAATACTATTTACTAAACCTCTCAAGTATATCCAAGTTTCCACCATGAACTCAAATATGAATGGTCAAGATCAACAAGACTCACTAGTTTACACAGACAATTTTGAGTTGCGTGATTTCGTTGACGATCCAAACTTTGATCAATTTATTGATTTAATCAGAGGTGAGAATGAAAATGCAATATGTAACTTTGGTTCTGACCTTATCAATGACTGTTTCATTGATAATCATCAACCTCTTTCAATTCCTCTAATGCCATTACTTGATCATAACAACAACAATATTAATAATATTGTGAATGTCTATGATCCAAGCTCTTCAACAATTGGTTCCTTTGCTTGTTATGATGAGGAGGTTAATGGAGAAGGAGACAATATTGGTGATGATTCTCCGGCAACAACAACCACGACCTCGATCGATGATACCAAATCTAGGGCTAAAACTGATCGGTCCAAGACTCTCGTTTCGGAGAGGAGGAGGAGAGGTCGAATGAAGGATAAACTTTATGCATTGCGTTCTTTAGTTCCCAACATTACAAAGGTAAGTGTTTTTATGTCGATGGTAATAACTATTAGAACTTCATATATGCAACTGTAAGTATCAAGGTTCGAGCCCTAGTTATGGTGTCCGACCTATAAATATTAATTTTTGTCAGTTGAACTAAGATTTGCAGACATTGAATTTAGAATTTCCAAATTCACAAATATATATATATATATATATATATATATATATATATATATATATATATATATATATATATATATATATATATATATATATATATATATATATATATATATATATATATATATATATATATATATATATATATATATATATATATATATATATATATATATATATATATATATATATATATATATATATATTTGCTTTAAACTATGTTTCTTTTTGCACTAGGTTAAGATTGCTAGTGCTACTTATAAGTTTTCAATCTAATATACATATGATAGTAATTTGAGAATAAAAATTGTAAAGTAATCAAGATATAATTGTTATATATACAGATGGATAAGGCCTCTATAATTGGAGATGCAGTATCATATGTGCATGATCTTCAAGCACAATCTAGGAAGTTGAAGGGTGAGGTTTCAGGACTTGAAGCATCTTTATCTGTATCTGAAAATTATCAAGGATCAATTAACAACACCATTAATGTTATTCAAAGCCATCCAATAATTTGCAAGAAAATTATCCAGGTTTGTTTCATTATTTCTATTTCACATTTTAATATATAAACACAATTTTGACCTTTATGCATATTATGTTATAGGTGGAGATGTTTCAAGTGGAGGAAAGAGGTTACTATGCAAAAATAGTATGCAATAAAGGAGAAGGTGTTGCTGCTTCATTGTACAAGGCTCTTGAGTCTCTTGCAAATTTCAATGTTCAAAATTCAAACTTAGATACCATTTCTGACACTTTTCTACTTACATTTACAATGAATGTAAGTTAGTAAACTAAACTCTCTCTCTATACAATACATTAATTAGTGCTAATTATGGTTATTAATATTTTGCTTATGGATTAATTAGTGATCCGTTGATGTTTTTAAAAACAGGCAAAAGGTTCTGAACAAGAAATGAATCTTCAGAATTTGAAGCTATGGGTGGCAGGAGCTCTTTTGAACCAAGGCTTTGAATTCATGCCATCCTTTTGAGCCATTGCATGCAGATTGTAGGAAAAAAATTCTGATAAAAATTAGACTGAAAAAAAAATAAAATTTGCATTAGATTTTGACACTTCTGTATGATTATTTGTTTCTAATTTAAATCCTTGATTCAAGTGTTTTAAATTAGTGATATAAATCCTTCTTACTGTTATCCAAATATGAATATTGAGACAAGTGTGTGCCCAGTATACCAATATTATCCCATAGGATGACTCTAATAAAAGATTAATTTCATTGCATTTTTCTTAATGAGTTGTTTTACACTATACATGGTACATGTATTTATACTCTCACATTAAATATATCCTCTCAATACTTCACAATTTTTAGAAGTTTTTTCAGTGAGGATAGGATATATTTAATGGGAGAGTGGGTTGAGGTTCGCCACAAAAAAAAACCCTATATGGGGTGGCTAGAAGATCGGTTTGGACGGCAATAGAGGAAAAGGAGTTGAGAAAGAATAGTCACTATCCACTTTTTTTTCACTGACTCCTTTGAAGTAAAAGAGATGTTTGAAGTATTTAAAGATTTTGGGGTAGAAATAGAAGTTGTTTTTCTATCAAAGAGAGACAGGCGAGGAAAACAATACGGGTTCGTCCGATTCAAAAAGGTGGTAAATGAGAGGATTGTGGCGGTTAAGCTGGATAACATCCTTATCCAAGGTAAGAAGATATACGCAAATGTCCAAAGATTTTAGTGCAGTAACAAGAACTTTCAGAGTGAAGAAAAGAAACACATACGCTCATTGAAGATAGGGTGGGGGAGATGAATTCAACATCATGGGAATCGAATATGAAATCTGAGAGGGGCCAACATAATCTATGCTCAGGCTGTTGGAGGTAAAAGCGTAGGTGGAGATATGAAGAGCATGGAAGTTGTATAGAAGATAGTTAACAGAAGGAATCCCTGACGCTGGGAATCTGGGGAGGCTAAACCCATATTTGCTCATCTCCAATTCAACATAGAGAAGAAAGACTTGGCTAGATTTGATAAAGCATTTGTGGGTGTGGTAGAAAAGCCAGGATCGACCTACAATGTGCATGAAGTGTTATACTCTGAAGGCTTTTTTTGAATCAAAGCAACGCCCATGTGTGCAAATTTATGCTTATTGGAGGAAATGGAAGAGGAAGATATTAGAATTGTAGTAAAGGAGGCAAATGCTTGGGTAACCCTGTTGTTGCGGTGAAAATTTGATATCAAGCTATTAATTAACTTGAACCGTATTTCTTTTTACAACCGGTCTTTAATTTATCCAAAGAATAGGTCTAAAGAAAGAAAGAACCTTTCGCGCGATGTGATAACAACGCTTTAAGAGATTCGGGGGTTGGTTATATCTAGGGAAGGTATTAGCACCATAAATATCTGTAGTATTCTACAGGAACCTTTTGTTTAATTACTTGCTAAGTTTGTGAATTGCGCACTATGGTTTAAGGATTGGGAATAAAACAAATAAAAGGCCTAAGTGGTTTTCTAAGTTTGCTCGCAAAGACATCGCATCTTTTGCCTACGTATCCTGACTAGGATAGAATCAGAGCAATCGCAGTTCACCTCACGAGGGGAAAGAACACTTGATGATGATCAAGGTTCAAAGGGGAACAAACATGACAATGTTTGTGTGGAGTTTGACAAAACTCCCTAAGCTAAGTTGAAAGGGAAGTAAGAGATCATGACGATGATTCTTACACAGAGTTGACGAACTCTTTCCTAGGGTTCTAGTTGAAGAATACTCCTAGTATGGGTAGGTTTCTTAGACTTCAAGCAAAGTCTAAAGGCTTCTAAACTAGGATTGAAATGACTTAACAAAGTCAAGGGATAGCAGAGGTTTTGGTCCAAGACATTGACAGTCAAGTGGACAGACCTTCCTTTGGAGGAACAGCATTATCGGCAACTGGACGAAAGCTGACGGGCTTCGTCGCTTGGGGATAAAATAAAATATAATCTTTACACAAACATAATCATGGTAACAACCAATGAAAATATTAAAAATGAAAAGCAATGATGACAATCAAAGCAGCTGTTTCGGTACGAGAACCGTGACGACAGTTCGCACCTGGAATACTGTTAACAAACAGATGAGGTAAACATGATAATAATTCAATGTAAAAATCCTAACATGTTGACAAACATATATAGGCATGATAACGATCAAATTTCCTGAGAAAACACAAGAGGAACCTTTTTAATTTTCATCTGCAACCAAATAGGGTTAGTACCGTTGACGCGCGGATCGCGCGTAATCAAACATGGTGAAAAAATAATCAAACATGGGAAATAATTACATGGTATGAAAGTACATATAAAAACAAGCACAATGAAAAAAGAACGGGCGAAAAACGATAAAAAATGAGAGAGTTACGAATTTTTTGAAGTTTATGTACAAGAAATGAGAAAAAGTGGTAGCAAGGGTCATCACAAGGGATCGAACCCATGCCAAGACTGATACGCGCGCTAGTCTCTACCGCTGGGGCGGCTGTTACATCCATTAACAAATGCGCAATAACAAATATGTAAAGCTTTCTTGGTTCCATGGCTGGGCAAACACATAATCAAAACCAAATACGTTTTATACCGTATCTCACTAACCGCTTATCGGATCGAGGCAAATTTTATATGGAAATTGGGTAGAATTGAATGAGGAAGAGGATGGTGATGTTAGTTTTTTGAGATAGCCTCTGTGGTGGAAAACCCGATAGTACCCCTCTCTTGGGCTTTGAAATGCATTTTCTCATGAGTAGCCTTATACACTCACACTCAAACTACAATAAACACATGCGTACCACTGGAAAATGATGATGAATGAATGTAAATCATACCTGGGGTCAGAACTGACCTGTAATAACAAGTTACATGTATTTTGCAAAAAATGATATGGATGATGTGCATGAGGTTAAGCAGTTCAAGCTCTATGCATAAGTGGTCTAATTTGATCATTTGCACACATCAAGTATCTGCTGTTGGAGGGTTTTGAATACAACACAAGTCTTTGTTCAACATTTTGTGGAGTATGGTTTTCCACATGAGAGTGTGTGTGTGAGAAGTGATGTATTGGTAACAATGTGTGAAATTTTGATTCTATGCATAAAAATCATAAAGTAATCGTGCATACATACTTGGAATACACATGGAAACTTTTTAGAATGATGAGCACCTCTTGGTGTGGTTCTTTGCAAAATATGGCTATCACATGCTATGACAGAAATTTCAAACAGCAAAACATAGTGCTAGCATTTAATTTGTCAAAGTATTAATGCAACATCCACACTTGTTAAGTAAACATGCACCGATTCATGGCAGTCCTCACTTCAACCCCAAACTGCTGTTAAATCTAACAGCCAAGCCTACTTGTTACCAACTGCAAGAATATGAAACAAACTACCCCTAACAATATCCTTACAAGTCTCCAACAGCTCTCTCAAGACAGTTTTCCTACTGTAACACCACAAAGCCAACTGCTTCTACCAAGCCTATAGCAGTGGAGAATTTAGCTTGCTCACATCTAGAGCAAAAACAAGATCTCAAGACTAGTTAAAAAACGAACAAAACATGTGACATGGAAAATTTGAAATGACTCAAAACACAAACTTGTGTATAGCCAAACAGTATACACATCTTTTTATGTCTCAGCCCAATGAGTATTCATCATAACCAACTTCAAACAGTTTTGACAGTAAAAGAACAAGTGCATTGAAATAGAGAGTATGAGGGTTTGACTGTGCTAAATATTCAAGACAACAAAAGTTTGAGTCTATCCATCAGCATTTCCCCCAAGTCATAAGTATTGTCTTAAAATCAAAGCTGCCAGCTAGAGTTAATGACAATTTGTTCAAAACAAAACTGGCTGTCATACCTCAGCTTTCAACAATTCAGACAGTATGGAAACATTGAAATAGGTTGAACACAAAATGTATGTGTGAACCAATATGCCTACACAAAAGAGGCACTTCACACCAGTCTGTGAAGTATAAGGATAAGCAGTTCATAAGCCTAATTCTAGAGCCAGAAATCCAATTCGATTTGATAATCCAATCTGTCTTAGATCACACACACAGGCAAGATGTTGTCTAGCTGCACCAAGGGGTCCATTGCCAATCATACTCTACTAATTAAACTAAATGCACTAAACTGGGGTTTTAAGGTTAACTCAAGGATGCTGTCAAACTGTCCTCAACAACTACAATTATTCTGTACCAAATGGGGATTTAGAATTTGACAATGAAATTAAACCTTTGGAGCACTCACAGTCAACAGGTTTTGAAACAACACAAGTCTCTGCACAACATTTTGTGGATTGTTGGAGGGCTTTGAATACAGCACAAGCCACACCACATAATTCCAATAAGATGCACACTTGTATGCTCAACTAGGTGACCATTAGGTCATGCCAGCAAAATAGGCCAGACTGAGTTGTATAACTCAGTCTTCAAAGGCATCCTATGCAGGTCATGCTCTATAACCAACCAAAACCTGAAACAGACCCTACCATATATTTTGTACAAAAAACCTACAGCCAGAACATGGAATGGTGGCAACTAAGTTGGCTTATCACAAAACTGGGCAGCCAGCCAAGGTTAATAATATCTACATTCAAAGCTCAACCTAACTCACACTAATCATGAATTCTCAATGAATTCATGTATGCCCCTTCTGCTGCAGGTTGTTTGAGGTGGGAATGGTGTAGGCAATCTGAGTTTGACAAACTCAACTCTTAGGCACATTCAAAGAGAGCAGATCAACTAAGGCAAACTGATGATGCTAAAGCTACCCTTCCCAGGACTTCCCCCTATTAGAACCAACAACTATTAATGCAGCCTAGGATGCTAGTAAACAATTCTGGAAGCCTACTATGGATTGACAAATTTATTTCAATAAAACCTGATAGCTGCCCCCTAATAATTCTCAAGTTACCCCTCAAAGCATTTAATTCAGCAGCAGTCCTTAATAACTCCTAAAACCCAACCCAGTTCAGCAGCCAAACAATAACAAAAGGT